TCACACGAGGGGTTTTGCGCTAAAGACCTGCCTCTGACGGGTCATGTAGAGCAGTTTACAAAGCACGAGCACTTTAAACGAGATTACTTTGGAGACTGGTGCATTGTCCGGAAGGCTGGATGCTCTGGCGCGCTGTCCTGACTCCACAACTAAGCCAATAGGACCCATGTTTAAAGGCATGGCTACCCTTCAGGAGTTGGAAATTATCATCAGCGAGCTGTCGATCTGCGCGTTCCGGCAGCAGGTGTCACGTTTCCCGTAAACTTTCGCAGTTGACCACCTTCGGTGGGGACACGACGAGCTGCCACGCTGATCATGCGTATCAGCTAACATTCTACGACCAGTAACGGGGGAAACGAGCCTTCTACGACTCCACCCAATACGTCCTACTCCTCGGTAAGATAAGCATCCTTTGTCCTTGTGCAATATCCAAAACGGATATCTTCACTAACTGGAGTGCTGATCAAAGGTCTGATCTCCATCAACTGGAAAAATAATTTAAGAACGCATTCTGGAGGGCGACTACAAAAGCGCGGCCGTAAGGCTTCATCGTCGCATACTGTGGATAGTTATTCACTTTCCGTTCTTTGCAAGAACCACTACTGTATTTTATGTTCTTGTAACTTGCATTAAGTTACATATGCATTTTTACTTACACAACACTGATTATACCCTTTTTAATTTTGGACGACAATCGTCGACAGGGCTCTTTATCACAGCCGTGAAACGGCCTATGCGCATTATATACAGTGCGTGACCGATCTCATGAAATGTTGGCAGAAGTTCTGAAAAGCGTTCTCGATTAGGAAGGCTTTCTTAAGTGGAGTTGTAAAAATGATTATTATGCGACATAATCCCATAGCATTTCAGAATTGATAGGATGTCGGGCTTTGAATGTACTTCTTTTCGACTTCCTGCAGAAACCACACCCGTAAAAGTTGACCACTTAAGTAGCGTGAGATCTTCACATCGATTTTCGATGGTCTTATAAATTCAAATATATTTTATAGAAAAAATGCACAAAATATGCTTTCTTTTACTCGTTTGGTAGAAAATCACATCGTCTTCACAGTTCATACCCTAAGAAAGGTTGTCTTTCGGTTTTAAAAAAGTTTCTAGTTATGAGGTTTTAAGACCATGCGATGTCCACGCATGCAGCATCGCACATGTCCGTTCACCAATGCTCCTCAAGAAATGTACAACATAGTCCACATCAATTGCGAAATTTTATGAACTCCACGTAGTATCCTCTTAAAGGCGTGGAGAAATATATGTTTTTTATTATACAGAAAGCATGTACCTTGCAGACTGAAAGCGCTAAACACTAATGCAACCGCTTATTTAGCTTAAAATTATATGGAAATTGAAAAACTTTTTAAAGCCAAAATATACCCCTTCTTCGAGTAAAAAGTATGGCGACAACATGATTTTCTGCCAAACGAGTAAAATAAAGCATATTTTTGCGCATTTTTACTACAAGATATACTTGAATTTATAAGACCATCGAAAATCATCGAAAGCATGTGAAAAACACACTACTTAAGTAATAATTTTTCACTAAGTGTGGTTTCTACAGGAAGTCAAAAGAAGCGCATTCAAAGGCCGACATCCTGGCGAGTCCAAAATACTATGGGATTTTGTCGCAGGATGAGCATTCTTGCAATCCCACCCAAATAATCCTTCCTAATCGAAAACGCATTTCAGAATTTCGGTCAACATTTCAAGAGTTCGATCATGCACTGTAGTTACTTTAAAAAACCTTTTCATGTATATATTCAAAAGCGATTTTTGCACCTGTTTTGTACATTTCCAAAAATTACCAATTTTTATTTTAAAAAATAGCACCTACATACCAAACATTTCCCGGCTTACGTTTCCACTATAGGGGGGAGGGGAGGGTTCTGTTTGGTTGCAAAACGAGACCCGATTATTTCGGCACCGATTCTAGACTGGAAAGTGTGACAAAATCAACTTAGATTCGGAGTAGCATATTTCGGGTTTCTGATTATATTTGGATCCCCATTGCTACTAGGGATGTAAGGCAACTCATACGTCCTTGGTATTCGGAAGAAGATTCGATGACGGAGCTATACAATGCTGTAATGAATGTGGACTATACTTTTTACTTCTCAAGGAACACTTGTATGTAGATAGGATTTTATTTAAAAGCCACTTCACGGCCTTAAAAGTCTGAAATGCACTTCTACATCGCATGCAAAATTTTAATTCTAGAATGAGCCTAAGAAAGGTTACTTCTATGCACACCGTTCTTTCTTACATATGTTTAGATTTATAAGGACACCGACTGTCGAGAGAGAGATTTAGACTGCTTAAAAAGTCACTTTTGTGAGCGTGGTTTTTGCAGACTGCCAGAAATGGGCGCATTCAAAGGCCGGCATCCATTCGCAATAGAAATATCTTGTGATTGTCCCGCGCGGAACTCAATATCGCAATCTATGTGACCTTTTCAAGCGTAAATCACATTCCAGAATGTGTATTAATATTTTTAGATATACACTAACTTCTGTAACTGAGAAATACCAGCCACACAAAAGACTCGTTTTTTCATCTAATCATCTTCTTAGCAGAGGCACATTGTAGGGAATGCCTGTATTTCTGCTTGGTATTTGTGCTGGAGAATGACCAGCTTGTTTCCTTAATCAACATAATTAAAACTTTTGGGCTGAAACGTAGTTTGGTTCATCGTCGTAAACTTGATCTAAATATCCTACAACCTGGAATATGAACCCTCACTTGGCGATCTGTTTGAGCAGTCCGTCATCCGGTATCAAATAATGCAGTGAAAAAAACTTGAGCATACTTTCGATAGTAATTTCTTTAAATAAGGACACTTCGGCTCAGCTGACATCAGAAGGACGCTACTGGTTCCCTTATGTCTTACAAAGTTTTGTACATGGGAAACAGCCTCACTGTGAATCGCACAACAGCTCATCTGGCGATTTTTGCAGGCAGAGTTAAGAGGGTCTCAGACGCCCGTATATATCCACATTCTGTTCCAACAGGAGACTTCGATAGGCATGCTTTGCCTCCAAACAGGACATTACCTGCACGCCAAGTTGAAACAAGGTGTAGGCATTCACAAACAGCATAAAGCAGATCAAAAGACTGGGTCGGCTGACGAAGGCGGACTCACTGACCCGTGAAGATAACCTTGACCACACCTTCTTTCGGTCCACGCGGTTGTATTCTGACTCCGGTGCATCAGCCTCCCTCGTTCGGATCACTAACAGGAACGTCACCAGCAGGGCGAGCGCCTTGTTTCGTCTAATTCCAGCGCAACGCAAGAGCATCATCAGAGAGCATACGCTTCTTCCCGTTATTTGAACCAAAAATCGATAAGTTGAAATGCAAGCCTACTGCGCTGCTCGGCGGTTTGGTCAAATTTCAACCATAAGAGGCAAAGTAGGCCAACTAACAGCGTGCGCCGAAATTCATGAAACTCGAGGCTGACATTTCGATGCATCCTTTTGAGCTGGAAATACTGCATATGCGAGGTTTCAACTACTGACTAGTACGCGCCACAATTCCATGTTAATTCCTCAACGGTAGGGCCCGGGTTTTCAGGTGAGATCAGGTCTGGCCAACTGACAGGTCACAGCCACAATCATAATCACTACTGAGGCACTTAGAACTTTTACAATCGACTTTCTATGCCCGTTCAGTTCGACAATTTTAAGGGAAAGGAGGCCTAACTGTAGGAAATCGTGTCCTCTTCAAAAATTGCCCTATTCTTTTAAACGCAACGGCAAGGCGTGCGTGTGCATGTGTTCCCTTACAGGCACGAAACTTCCCAGTAAAAAATTACACACTAAGTAGGAATGTTTATTTGGCATGATTGATGGAGTTGATCACGAAGATTCCCAGCCGAAAGCCAGTGTCCTGCCTAAGCTAGGTTTCAGAGCCTGCGGTTAAGATTCCGTCCGGCTGCATTGAGCATAATCGGAAAAGAATCACTGAGATACTGAACACCTTTACAACTGACATTATATGTCTGTTCAGTTTGATTACTTTTATAAATTTTTATCATCTTGAAGGAACTCGAGTCTTTCCGCTTTTTTAACCGAAGGTGGTGAATGGCCTTCGGCTGTAAAGACTTTCAATGATTTCCTTATTTGCTGAATTTTAAGCACAACGCACAAAGCGTGGACTCATGCCTTTTCTAATACCTGTGTGAATTTAAACAGAGACCAACATTCCTATCGAGAAGATACATACGACTAAGGCAGTGTTTTTATTTAGTGTGAATGAAACAGGTGGTCACGAAGGTGCCTACCCGAAAGCCAGCATCTTGACTTTGGACTGTGCTGCGTGCTAGTAGGCATTGTAATCTAGTTTAAGTAGACTTTTCTTAAAGACGTATTTTAGAAAGGTTCTTGAGTTTTGACTGGTCGCGTGGTTTGCCGGTGGGCGGTGGATCCAAGTTGTAATTGTACGGTCAAACGAAGTTCATCGACTTGTTTGGATACGCGTTGCATAACCTTACGCCAGGGAGTATACCCTGTCATATTCACTATGGCGATTGACGAGGTTCGGTCCTGAAGCCCCACCCGAGTGATACCATATGGCTAGCTTTGTAAAACAATTTTAGTAGATGCGAATATGCCGGCTTTACAAATGTGTTTGCATCTTCCTTACCATTTTAATCCAGAGAGTGACTGTGCCACGGGGGGAGGAGTGCTTATGCGCCAGCCTCGGTTACTTCAGTTGTCAGTTCACATGCGCTTCCCTCTACGTGGTTCGAGTCATGCTTGCGCTCTCTTCATTATCCCAGTCCAGCGAGTGGTCAAGAAGACTTGCCAATGGAATTGTTCCGACGGTGTGGAATTTCGTCGGTCCCACTACAGTGGCCATGCACTACGAATTACCATGTGGCACCCTCAGTGGCCTTCCAAATGTGATTGCGCTCCCTCTCCCCCCCCCCCCCATATCCGCGTTGGAAAGAGAGTGTGTGTACACCCTCCTCACTCTCTTTTCTGCACATGCTTCGAGCTCTGCTTACGCTCTCTTTCCCTTCCCAATCCAGCGAGTTGTTAGGTATGTTATCTAATCTTGTTCTAGTAAGCTAACCATACAGTATCAGTAGAGTAAAGCTGCAGAACCAAACCCCGCCTAGCAATTATCGTGCACGAAGATAGGAGAGGCCAATTGGGTCTGATACTACAAACACGACTACGGTAGTAGGAAGTACCCATAAGAAATACACTGATACTCCCCGCCGAACGCATGAAGGGACCTCGACGAGTACTTCATCCAGCCCCGGCACCCAGCTCTCATCTGTAGCCTCATGAAACCGTGCTCGGAGCGACGGTCACACCCCCAGTAACCGTCTTTGATCGGTGGGCTAAAGTAGATGAGGGTGTCCAGCGTGTGTATATGTGCGTGTCCCCAAAACGGGCCTTGGGGTAGATGCGCTGGACCATCGCAGCGGCTATAACGGATTCTGGCAGGCGTTATCGGAATGCGCACCATAAAAAATGACAACGATCGAGATACGGTGGGAGACGCAGTTGACATTGCGAACATTGGGACCCCTACCACCCCCCATTGTTGATGTTGGTTGGAAGTCCTGGTCAAGTGTCTGTTGTGAACCAGATGATGTGAAATGGTCCGTCCAGGTGCGGGCCCGGTCGCGCCATCCACCTGCGTCCTAACCCACCTCCGGTCTTCTTGACTATGTCCTGACATCGGGTCCAGGTGGGGGAGGAGGAGATAGTGCGGTAGATGCTGCGCAAGCCTACATTCACTATAAACTAATTCACGCATAAGTCACCGTCCCTGTTCCATCTTGATGTGGAGCACACGGTGGACATCGTTGGCAACGACGGTCGAACTGTCGTGTGTGTGTGTGTGTGGACTGGACTGCTCGCAAAGCTGAGGAGATCCAAGGCTACGCGGACCGGAACGAATGGAAGAACTTCTTCTCCGCAATCAAAGCTGTCTACGGTCCGCCGACGAAGGGCACTGCTCCTCTCCTCAGCGCCGACGGCAGCACTCTCCTGACTGAGAAGACGCAAATCCTACAGCGATGGGCCGAGCACTTCCGAGGCGTCCTCAACCGCCCCTCCGTCATCTCCGACGCCGCCATCGCCCGCTTGCCGCAAGTGGCGACCAACGTGGACCTCGACCTCCCGCCATCTCTCCAGGAAACGATAAGGGCCGTGCAGCAGCTCGCCAGCGGGAAAGCACCCGGATCGGACGCAATCCCTGCTGAGGTCTACAAGCACGGATGTCCCCTACTGATGGATCACCTGACTGCGCTCTTCCAGGAGATGTGGCGTCAAGGTGAAGTCCCGCAAGATTTCAAGGACGCAACTATCATGCACCTATACAAGCGAAAAGGGAATCGCCAAGTCTGCGACAACCACCGCGGCATCTCCCTACTGAACATCGCCGGGAAGATCTTCGCTCGCATACTGCTCAACCGCCTCAACAACCATCTGGAACAGGGCCTTCTGCCGGAAAGCCAATGCGGCTTCCGTCGTCATCGTGGGACCACGGATATGATCTTCGCCGCCCGCCAACTTCAGGAGAAGTGCCAGGAGATGCGGACCCACCTGTACTCTACCTTCGTGGACCTGACGAAAGCCTTCGACACGGTGAATCGTGAAGGATTGTGGAAGATCATGCAGAAATTCGGCTGTCCGGAGCGATTCACTCAGATGGTGCGTCAGCTGCACGACGGTATGATGGCGCGAGTCACGGACAACGGAGCTGTCTCAGAGGCATTCGCGGTGACCAACGGAGTGAAGCAGGGCTGTGTGCTGGCGCCTACCCTCTTCAGTCTTATGTTCTCTGCCATGCTGATGGACGCCTACCGCGACGAACGCCCTGGAATCCGCATCGCCTATAGAACGGACGGTCATCTCCTGAATCACCGGCGCATGAACTTCCAATCGCGTGTATCCACAGCCACCGTGCACGAACTCCTCTTCGCCGACGACTGTGCCCTGAACACCACCTTGGAAGAGGAGATGCAGCGGAGCATGGACCTATTCTCCGCCGCCTGCGAGAACTTTGGGCTGGTTATCAACACGCAGAAGACGGTGGTGATGCACCAACCTCCGCCCAACTCAGCCACAGCCCCCAACGCGCCGCCGAAAATGAGCGTGAAGGGAACCCAACTGCAAGTGGTAGAGAACTTCCCGTATCCGGGCAGTACCCTCTCCCGCAACACCAAGATTGATGAAGAAGTCGCCAACAGGATTTCGAAAGCCAGTCAAGCCTTCGGACGCCTCCAAAGCACAGTTTGGAATCGCCACGGTCTCCAACTGAGCACAAAGCTGAAGATGTACAAGGCCGTCATACTGCCGACGTTACTGTACGGAGCAGAGACATGGACGGTGTACACGAGACAGGCACGCCGACTGAACCACTTCCACCTCAGTTGTCTCCGTCGCATCCTGAGGCTGAACTGGCAGGATCGAATCCCCGACACGGAAGTACTGGAACGAACGGGAATCCTCAGCATCTACGCCATACTGAAACAAATGCAGCTGCGCTGGAGCGGCCACCTGGTGCGCATGGACGACGAGCGACTACCCAAACGACTCTTCTACGGAGACGTCGCGACGGGTTCTCGTCGTCAAGGAGGCCAAATTCGCCGTTACAAGGATACCCTGAAGTCCTCCCTGAAGCGCCTGCAAATCAACCCGACCAACTGGGAAGATCTCACCCGTGATCGTCCGACATGGAGGAGAACAGTGAAGACAGGCGCTGCTATCTATGAAGCCAACCGAGCCGCCGCCGCCAAAGCGAAACGCGAAGCCCGCAAATCACAACTTCGCCCAGTCCGCAACGCCGCCGCACAACCTCTTCCTACGTGTCCTCGGTGTCAACGGACATTCCGGGCACGAATCGGACTTGTTGGACATCTTCGGATCAGCTGCACCTCTCGAACTGCTCCAGCCATCGTCCCCCCGCCCGCCTCTTCCTCGTCCTCTCTGCCGCCAACTGACTCTGATAACTCTTCTGTATCATCTTCATCCTCCTCCTCCTCCTCCTCCTCGTCTACTGCCTCATCGACGCCCGCTCAGGCGACTGTCGCGCAAGACATAACCGCACGCATCCCTGACACAACACCAGGCATCATCCCTTCAGCATCCGGCTCCAGACGTGAGGACCAGGAATACACCTGCCCTCACTGCGACCGCACCTTCACCTCACGCATCGGCCTGGTCGGTCACTTGCGAATCCATCGCACAGGGACTGGCGAACCAGTGCCTGGAGCACCAACCTACACCCTCCGCACTCGCCTCCACTGCCCGCACTGCCCTCGCACCTTCACTCATCGCATGGGTCTATTCGGCCACATGCGCATCCATGAGGGCGGCATTGAGCGCAGCCTGGACACACCCACAACGCTAGCCCCCACTCCCGGTTCATCACCTTGTGCACCCACCAACCTCTCTGCAACCGCCATCGATGCCACCGACTTTTCCACCCCTCACTCCTCCCCTTCCTACTCCTCTTCCTCCTTCACTGCCACAACGTCGGCCGCCTCGGCGTCTGTCGCCCACGACTTCACCACAACCGCACCCGACACAACAACAGGCACAAGCCCTGCCACCTGCATCATCAGACGTGAGGGCCAGGACTACATCTGCCCTCACTGCGATCGCACCTTCACCTCACGCATCGGCCTGGTCGGTCACTTGCGAATCCATCGCACAGAGACTGGCGAACCAGTGCCTGGCGCACCAACCTACACCCACCGCACCTGCCTCCACTGCCCACACTGCCCTCGCACCTTCACGCACCGCATGGGTCTATTCGGCCACATGCGCATCCACGAGAGCGGAATTGACCACAATTCCAAAACAGCCACGACATCCAACACACCCACCACGCCCAGACCCATCCTCGCTCCACCGTCACACGCGCCGACCACCACCAACACCACTGCTTCCTCTACAGCTGACACCGACACCGCCGACCTCTCATGCCCACATTGTCCACGCACCTTCACCTCACGCATCGGCCTGGTCGGTCACTTGCGGATCCATCGCACAGAGACTGGCGAACCAGTGCCTGGAGCTCCAACCTATACCCACCGCACTCGCCTCTACTGCCTACACTGCCCTCGCACCTCCACGCATCGCATGGGTCTATTCGGCCACATGCGCATCCACGACGACCTGCGGTAGACAACCGCCGGTCACACCACACATTCCCTCACTCCCTACCTCCTAACATCATCACCCCACCAGACATCAACCCCACACACCTCATGCACTCAACTGCCGCCTCCCACGCAAGTGGGAAGTGTGCATCTCGACTCGGTCCCCATGCGGCTTCGGCTGCACGGGTGACTTGTGTCCGAGACTATCCCGACACGTCAAACGTCGTGGATAGGAAGGTTGCTGATTGAGGCCCGCTCTCGGTTCACGCAGTTCGTCACGTTGTGTGTGTTGTGTGTAGTGGCGGACTGGTGGGCTGGGGACGGGCTGCAACAGCACCTTCCACGGCACTCTCACGCAAGTGAGAGACACGCCGTTCAACCCCCGTTGTGTGAAATCCTGGTGTTTGTGTGTATGGGGGGCCAGGTCGTGCTGTGGCGCGCGCAGTCATGGTCCGTCGACCATGACAGCCACCGCGTCCATTCCCCACTCCAGTCTGCTGACCGGCTCGGACAGCGGCTGGGGTGTGGGAGTGGGAAGGGAGAGTGAGGTCGACGGCTCAGCGCACTTTCTCCTCACTATAAACAATCTGACGCGCTTGAAGCTATCACGGTGCGCTAAAAGCCGTGGCTTGGAAGGTTGCCAACTGACGGGGTACCTTGGACCTCCTCCTTAACAGGAGGCGGTCTGAGAGTCAGGCTGCAATGGCTCCTTTTTAATGTGGCCTTTATGGCATTCCCATCACAGTGTGGGATCCGAGCCAGGCGTTGGCGGCACGCCTAGGTGCGGCTTCGGCCGTGCCAGCCTCCAAATCTCTGTTGTGTTGGTTGAAATCCTGGTTATTGTTGTGTGGACCAGGGGGTGTGGTGGAATGCCAAGGTGAGGATCCGTCCGAGCCATCCACCTGCGGCCTCCCTCGTCTCCGGTCTTCTTGACTCTGTCTTGACACCGGGCTCAGGCGGGGGAGGAGGAGAGAGTGTAGGTAGATGCAGCGCAAGTCTGCCCGCACTATAAACCCCTGCGCAAGTCACCGTCCCTGCTCTTACCGCTGCTGCAGCTGTGGGGCACACGGTGGACATCGTCGAAATCGACGGTCAAATTGTCGTGTGTGTTTGTGTGGCCGTCCTCACACTAAACAAATTTGTGGTTCATAGTGGAGTCTGGCAGCCGTCTGAGATGTCTAGGCAGCCCTATCTAGGGCCAGCACTGCTTACGCCCGCGAGAGGAGGGGACTAGAGCAGGTGCTGGCTTCACGTCCTCTGCCGCCGACCGTTGCTCGCAGATACAAAACACACGGTAGAAACAACCAAACACAAAGTCATACTCTCTCCCCCTTCCTCCTCCTTCTCCCCTCCGTCCCTCCCCACAAGCTGCTAGGATGGGTTCTTTCACTCTGGCAGCCCGGAATGTCCGTCCCCTTTTAGACAATCCGCGGAGCAACCGACTGGAATGGAGGACAGCGCTAGTGACTCTGGAAGTAGCACGCTCCAAGGTGGACATCACTGCAATCAGTGAGATCAGCTTCTCCGAACGGAGCCAACTGGAGGAGATTGGTTCCGGCTACATCTTCTTCTGGGACGGTCGCCCCGAGGCAGATCGACAGGACGTGGGTGTCGCCTTTCCCATTCGGAAGGACATTGTGGAACGACTACCTTGTCTGCCGCAGGGAATAAACGATCGCCAGACGAGCCTCTGCCTGCCTCTTTGGGGAGGTAAATTCGCCATCATCATCATCATCGTCTGCGCTCCGCCGATGACCACCCCTGATGCCGCAAGGGACAAATGCTACGAGGACTTGTATACCCTCCTGGCGACCGTGCCTAAGGCGGATAAGTTGATTATTCTTGGTGACTTCGACGTTCGTGTCGGCACAGACCACGCTGTTTGGAGAGGAGTTCTGGGTCCTTATGGTCTCGGCGGCTCTGATGACAATGGCCTACTCCTATTACGAATCTGCGCAGAACACCTTCTTTCGCCTACCGACGCGGAAGAAGGTGACCTGGCTGCACCCTCATTCACGGCACTGGCTCCTGCTCGACTGTGTCCTCGTTTGAAGGCGAGACCGGCGTGACGTGCTGGTAACAAAGGCGATTCCGGGTGCCGACGGTTGGACCAACCATCGCTTCGTCATCTCCAAGATGCGGATGCGCCTTGTAGGAGACCTCGAGGTAAGCGGCAACCAGGAAAGTTGAATATTGTTTTGTTGTCTCTGCCTGCTCACCATCTCCATCTCCAAATGCTAGCCGACCTCCCAGTCGCCGCCATGGCTGCCGACGAGAACGCCTCCGTGAAGAACCAGTTGAGACCAGTTGAGGGACACGGTCCAGTCAACCGATCTGGCTGTCTTCGATCGCGCATGCTGCCAACATCGGGACTCGTTCGAAGACAAGGTCGCCGCCGTAGGTAATCTGCTCGCCGAGAAGAACCGCCTGCAAAAGGCCTACATCATCCGCCCCACTGAAGACAACAAAGTAACCTTCTACCTCGGGCGCTGATTTGTGCACCAGCGGCTGCGGGAGATGCTGGACTCCTGGATGGCTCGCAAGGCCAAGAAGATCCAAGGGTACGCGGACGGCAAAGAATGGAAGAACTTCTTCTCCGCTATCTGGGCAGTCTACAGTCCCACAGCCAAAGGAATCGCCCCTCCCGTCGGCGCCGACGGCAATACCCGACTCACTGAGAAGAAGAAAATTATGAAGGGATGGGCCAGGCACTTCAGAGGCGTCCTCAACCGTTCCTCCACAATCTCCGACGTCGCCATAGCCTGTCTGCCTCAAACGGGGACCAACGACGACCTCAACGTCCCACCCTCTACGCTAAACCATCAAGATCGTGCAACAGCTCTCCAGCGGAAAGGGCCCGGATTGGACGCGATCCCTGTTGAAATCTACAAGCACGGCGACCCCCAACTCATGGATTATATGATGGCGCTCTTCCAACAAATTTGGCGTTAAGGAGAAGTCCCGCAGGATTTCAAGGACGCCAAAACCATCGAGGCATCTCCTTTTGAACAATTCTGGGAATATCTTCGCTCTCATCCTCCTCAACCGCCTCAATAACCATCTGGAACAGGGCCTTCTGCCGGAAAGCCAATGCGGCTTCCGTCGTCATCGTGGGACCACGGATATGATCTTCGCCGCCCGTCAACTTCAGGAGAATTGCCAGGAGATGCAGACTCACCTGTACTCCACCTTCGTGGACCTGATGAATGCCTTCGACACGGTGAATCGGGAAGCACTGTGGAAGATCAGGCAGAAATTCGGCCGTCCGGAGCGATTCGCTCAGATGGTGCGTCAGCTGCATGACGGTATGATGGCGCGAGTCACGGACAACGGAGCTGTCTCAGAGGCATTCGCAGTGACCAACGGAGTGAAACAGGGATGCGTGCTGGCGCCTACCCTCTTCAATGTCACGTTCTCTGCCATGCTAATGGGCGCCTACCGTGATGAACGCCCCGGGATCCGCATCGCCTACGGGACGGATGGTCACCTTCTCAATCAACGGCGGATGCACTTTCAGTCACCTGTATCCACAACTTCCATCCATGAATTTCTCTTCATCGATGACTGCGCACTCAGTGCCACCTACAAGGGGACATGCGAAGGAGCATGGGCCTCTTCGCCGACACCTGTAACAAATTCGATTCGGTCATCAAAACGGAGAAGACGATGATCATGTATCAACCGCCACCCGACCCCACAAATCAACGTGAACGGTCACGGACAACTTCGGCTATCTAGGAAGCACCCTCTCACAACACCAAATCGACGATGGAGTGGCCTGTCAGATTTTCAAGGTCGGCCAATCCTTCGACCACCTGCAGAATACCGTCTAGGAGCGACACGGTCTCCACCTCAGCACCAAAATCAAGATGTACAAAGCAGTCATTCTGCCGACACTGCTGCATGAAGCATAGACCTGGACGGTATAAAATAAGCAGGCGCGGAGTCTCAAACATCTCCACCTCAGCTGTCTTCGAAGGATACTAAAGCTGAGGTGGCAAGACCGGATCACGAGTTCGGACGTACTGGAACGGACAGGAATACTCTGCATCTACGTCATGCTTAGACTGCGTATGGACGACGAGGGGCTGCCCCAAAGCCTCTTCTATGGAGATGTCACCACAGTTTGCCGCCAACAAAGAGGTCAAGTCCGACGCTACAAGGATACCTTAAAGACTTCCCTTAAGCGCCTGCAAATCAACCTGGCCAACTGGGAAGACCTCAACCGGGACCGACCGACCTAGAGGAGAGCAGTTAAGACAGGCGCAGCAGTCTGTGAATCCAACCGCATCACTGCCACCATGGCCAAACGTGAGGCTTACAAATCTCAACTGCCCTCACCTCACAACGCCAACACTCAACCGCCCCCGACCTGCCCACGATGTCAGCAGACTTTGGA